AGTTTTCAGGTTAGAACCAACTGCTGGTTCCCTGCTTTGGTTTCAGTAGCCACACAAACATGGGAAGGAAACCAGACCACAGCAGCACTAATAGCCATCAGTCCAGCTTTTTGTGGAACTTCATCCTCCACTGCAATGCAATCCATATTGACTAAGGTGTTTCCATATGGACCAAGGTGTTATACAGTATTACACTTCCTTGTACCTCACACAAATTATTACTGTGTACTCTGATAACTTCTGTGTTCCAAATTTGACTTACTGCTTCTTAAAAAGAAAAGTCAGTTGCTCTCTCATAAGCCATGTGATGCAGTTCCACCTTGCCAAGGTTCCTGATTTAATGGATACAGCAGCCCATAGATTTAGAAATGTAAGTGTGGTTCTGAAGGACAGTTACACCACAAGGATTTTAATTAGACTAAAATTGCTGATGGTCTTTATCTCTGGAGGAAAATTCAGGAAGATATMAAAAGATTCTAGAAAAGAGAAAAGRCAAACTTCGAACTGTCCTGTGTAATTAAATTCCAGCCCTGCTCAGCAAAATTTAGATACCATACAAGGTAACAGTTCATTTGTTCTCAACCCTTGTAGATCTTTGTAGTCTTTCAATATTATCTTTATGGTATCTCAATTACAGCCTGAATATGAAAGTAAAATCAGAATTCTCCTTCTTGCCTTATTGCACCCTCAGCAATGCAGGTGCAAGAGTCCTGATGGTGCCAACAGTGTTAAGCCAGCCAATCAATCATCCTGATATCCAGATACATCACCAAAGGCTGTACCTTAGGGAGCCAAACCCAGGGAGAGGCCCACAAGCACACAGATAACCAGCCCAGGCAAGGTRAGGCGGTGTCTTCTAGGAACAGTGGCCAGCAAAAGCAAACACGTGGATGCAGAACWCTACCAGCAGCACACACTCCCTGCGTAAGTACAGGTGATACTTGTACACACAGGTGTACTTGAAATTTGTACACGGGAGAACAATCCAGTGGAGTTACAGAACCAGCACTGCAAATCATACAACAAGGAGCAATTAAAGTAGGGGAACAAGTGATTTTATCAAATCTTTTTTTTTTTTTTTTTTTAATGAAACCTACCATTTTTATCTCTGTTGCCTCTAGTATAATAGTATTTATTTGCCTTCTGAAAAGGGGTATGGGTACATACACACTTAAAAACTATATAGTAGAGGCATCTATCAAGAGTGCACAACACGGGACTAGATGGGTGGGGCTCACACAAATCTCGAGATAACAAYTGGACTGGCTCAGTGCTCCTCATCCCCATGTGGCACCTCCAATAGGCAGAGGAACCAAGTGCTCTTCCTGACAGACCCTGGTCTGGTCTGAGGACCAAATCCTTTCCCTTCATGGGTGATCAGACTACAAYTGCACTTGAACACTAGAGGCCCACTAGGTCTGCCCTATTTCCAAGGACCAACAGCCTCCTGTTTTGCCATTGTTCTTTTTCCACCCAATTTCTCAAACACAATGAGCTAYAAACAATGAACAGAGTAGTTTCCTCACACTTCAGGCACACCTTTCTAGATGTTTTATATTTACATTGGGGGCTTTTCTTCCTCTGCAGTTGTACATCATTTGCTTTTTGAACAAAAAACAGCTACACAAAGAAACAATGGAATTTCTTATATCGTGCACTACATAAGCAAAGAAATTAGCTTTTTGCTAATATAAATACCAAAATACTGTATCCTAATTATATTCTTTTTTTCATAAAAATATGTCCCTTGAAGAAATTTTTGAATCCTCTATGACCCACAAGTTTTTTCCTTCATAATCCTAAATCCTGTAAGAATGTTTATTATAGTTGTTTATGTTACATATCTTATTTATCCAGTGCTGATTCTGCATGCTAGAAACAGCCTTGCTGCCTTTCCCTTGCTTTTGGTTCCTTTCACTCCTCATCTGCCAAGCAGAGTCACTTCTTGTCTAAATCTTCCTCTCTTCTGCCTCCTCCCTTTCAGCCTTCCATCCATCTACTAACACTAACAAAAACAGCATAGACTATGGGACTTCATGCCCTCCCCACTTTGCCTCACATTCATTGTTAAGATATCAAAACACATTATTAAGAAATAACAAAACCRGTTTGTATTATAACCAACTTAATTCTTCTTTTTGGGAAAAACACCAGGTGAGAGACAACTACTGATGGGTCCCAAAAAAGCAGGAACACAAAAACATTTGGCAACACCTGCTTTTGGCAACAGCTAAGGAATCTTGTAGTTAAAAAAAATAAAGATAAAACAACAAACCAACACACATGAATTCTTTAGAATTGTGGATCCACCACAGATTCCTGATACCTGGGGTCCCTGGAGAAATTACCTGGAATATTTGTGGCTCTCAAAAAGTCAGCATTTCAGATATTAAAGAAATCTTTTTTTTTTTTTTTTCCAGAGGGATTAGACTACTAAACTTTGCTTTCCAAAGCAAAGCCACACAGCAAGAAAACTTTCATTACAAATTCCAGTTTTCCAATTCATTAAACCTGACTAACTCTGTTACCATTGCCAGGTTTGAGCTGCAATCAGTCCAAACACAAGAGACTCTCTAGAATAAGTATTYGAATCAAAACCATGGGAATGATCAGGGTATTGTTTTCTCTAACACTAAAATCASAGTGACTTTTCCCTTCAGTCATTCTATTTCTTCCTACAGCAATGCCAGCTGTTCAACAAGAACTGTTTTAAGTGCAATTTGCTATTCCTGATCATARCATCCCTTTATGGCAAATTTTTGTATCAGAATTTGTTTAGTTCAGTTCACATTTGGTCTCATCTCTGCAAGTTTCTGGGCAATGAGGCTCTCAACATTAKGGAGCAAAAAGTTCTGTTTGACAGGTGCTGCTTAGCTCTTACAGTACCCCAACTCACCACGGTACTTTCAGGCATTAAAAGAAAAGGTGTCTTTTTTTCTGTGTTCTTTTGTTTACAGGGTACTTCTTGTATTTGCAGTTCTCCTTCACATGCACACAAGTCATCTAATCAAGGCAGCTACTTTCCCCAGCTTGAACCATTTGGATTTTTTAAAAAAAAGCAAAATTAGTGCCTTCTCCTTTGCCCAAACCAGAGTACATCAGATAAAGCAAAACWAGTGCAACAAAATGCAGTTGTAACWTTYTTTTTTTCTCAAATCACTTAAAAAKCAATGCAGAAGGTACTGGCTGCATTCAGGACTCAGAACTTCCTACTCATCTAAGCAGGATGCAAAAGAACTAGGTTCTAAAGCCAGGTTCCACTTTTTTTCCCCCACTCTTTTTCGCAATTGGGTAAATTTTCAAAAGCATGGGTGGAGCACACCCACAATCTCACCTCACTCAAACACCAGTAGTGCTATTACTCTTCTGGAAGGTAGGAGATAAGTTCCATTTTTCTCTTGTTGATTGCTTTGACTACTGCACTACTACGTAAAGGCCTTTTTTTTTTTTAAGTACAAGACAACAATTTTTGAGAGATTGTTACTACACAACCAGATCCTCACAAAAAGCAATTACACCTCTGTACAATAAACAGATGGAGTATCAGTCACCCCTTTGCTTCTGCCTTTCTGGCTGGTCAGGCCTCCCAGGTCAGTACACAAATCTTCACAGCACCTTCTCTGAATCTCATTCTTCTCCTCTGCAGGCTAAGGAGCCCAGGGCCCTACTTCAGGATGTGCATTTCCCTTCTAAGGAACAGGCAGTGCCCAGCCTGATGTGCAGATGTAGCKTCCCATCTTCCTAACTCCAGAACTCTGGGGAATACACCTTGTACATCATTGCAAACTGTTCAAATGCCAGAGAGAACATCACTTAATGCTCCACCACAGCTTTGCAGCTTTCCTAGTTCAGTCTAAACACCTACCCTGGTTTTCTACTTCAGATAAAGATAGTTATTAAGCTGCAGGAGGAAAATTAACCTCTCTGCCATAACATCTCAACTTTAGGCCCACTTGTGCAAGTATTAAGGAAGACATAAATTTCAAAATTCTTTTWAAAGTCTCCAACACCCACTATGTACTGAGAAAGTTCCTTAGAAKGTTTGCACCTCTGCAAAGTTACAGAGCTAGAACACCTTTTTTTAAGAAAGGAACAAAAACAAAAGACTATGTTTATTTTTYAGTATTTCATTTTAATAACTGAACATGAAACTATCCTTGGAGTAAGTAAACTTTATTATTTACTATAATAAATCAATATCGTTTCAATTGGGTTAATTAATTTTAATTKTTATTGTTCTGAGAGCCAAAAACTGAATTTCCTCAACTTACAAAGTCAGAACACGTCACTTTCCACAGAAAACTTACATGAAACAGAATGTATGCTTTCCTTTGAACTAAYTGAATCTTACGTGTCTAAAGTGCTTCAGATCAGTAACGCGTCAGAGTACTGTTAWTGTCYTTAAAGTTTTGTAAATATTAATTTYGCTGCTGAGTTTTGTGACATTGGTTGCAGCAGCAAATGTGCACATCAAAATGTTGGGTTTGGCAACTGCCAAGCCTATTCTTGACATATTTTAAGTGTCACTTATACCCCACCAATAATTAATAATTTAGACTAACCTTTAGGCTAACAGGGGCAGGGGAATAAAGATTTCTGCGGCCAGGAGAGTGCATTATAACCCATAATGCACGACGGCAGATGCCTCAAGATCCGGCTGTGGAAGAAGCCAGAGCACACCTGCTCCTCTCCCGCAGCTTCTCCCCGGATACCCCAGGAGTTCGCTGACCCGGGGGCATGGCAGGGAGGCGAGGGGAGCTCCCCTTTCCCTCGGAGGTATTCCCAAGCGTCCCAGCCCAGCCCAGGATGAGGGGGGCAGAGGCAGGCTCCGGCCCGGCCCTCCAGAGGGATCTCGCTGCTGCGCCCGCCTGGGGCTCGGACACCGACGGAGCAGCGAGAGCCCCCGGCCGGGACACCTCCTGCGCCCGGGCCGGGGCGGGGAAGGCCCGAGGCGGAGCGGGCTGGAAGCCACCCCGATCCCTTCCCCTGCCGCCCCTCACCTGTTTTGAAGACCAGCTGCTTGTCCTCGCTGCTGCCGAAGAGCCGGAGCATGGAGACGAACAGGACCCCGCACGAGTTCTGAATGCCGAAGACGGCACCGTTGCACCACATGGCGGCCAGCATCACCACCCAGCCCCAGCCGCCCTCGGGGGGCTCCGGCGCAGCAGCGCTCCCGGGGCAGCCCGCGCTCCCGGGGGCCTCCGCTACCGCCCGGGGCTGGGCCCCGCTCTCGCCGCTCCCGGGGCACCACTCGCCACCGTTCTCCCGCGGCTCCTCGACCGCCGGCGGATCGGGCAGGGGGGTGGCGGCGGCGGGGTCTCCCCCCGCGCCTTGCGGCTCCAGCTGCTCGCTCACCGGCGCCATCCTCGGAGAGGGCGCGAGACCCTCCAGGCGCGCCGCTCCCGCCTTCCTTCTCCTTCTCCTTTCCGCGACCTCTCGTCCCCCGCCCGCTTTAGCCCCTGGCCGCGGGGGCTGCGCGCATCCTGCGGAGCTCTGTCCGTCTGTCCGCCCTGCGGTGCGCGGGACCGAGCGAAGCCAGCGCGCACCCCCCTCTTCCCGCCGCGCCGCCGCCGCTTTATTTTAAAAGGGGGGCTCCCTCGGGGGCGTCAGCGGCACGAGCGCTTCCCTCCGCGCCGATTGGCCGCGGGAAGGGAGGCGGGAGGGGCGGGAAAGGAGGGGGGCCAGGGAAAGGCAGGAGAAGCCACGCTTTTCTCCGGCCCCCCCACCCCACCCCGCCGCTTTGCCTCTCCGGCGGAGGGGGTGGAGCGGGGCGGGACCGCGCSGTGTCAGCGCCGGCGGTGGCAATGAGCGCACCGTGCCGCGGCGGCCCGGGCAGGGGGAGCGGCGAGCGGGGGAACGGGCGAGCGGGGAGGCGGAGGGCGAGGCCGGGAGCCAGCGGTTAACGGCCGCCGGGAAGGAGGCGGGAGGCGGGCGAGCGCCCCGAGCCTGCACACAGGTACCGAGCGCTGCCCGCGGCGGGCAGGGCGGTAAACAAGCCCCTGGCCCCGCTCCCGGGCCCGGCCCGCTCCCCACGAGGCCGGGCAGCTGCGCCCAGCGGTGTCCCGCCCGAGCCGAGGGGGGAAAGTCTGAAACTCCCGCCCCGGCCGTTTGCAAACAACAGTGAAATAAAGAGAAGCCGCCCCAAAACGCGCACCCCCTCACACACACACACACACACACACACACACACAGAGGGTGACGGCCGGCTCTCGGCCCTGCCCGGCCCTCTCTGCCCCCGCGGAGCTCCAACACCCACCCTCCTCCCCGAGGGAAGGGCTGCCAGCCCCGGCACGGAGGCGCCCAGCTCCAGGGCCCTCGGGGCATCCGCTGTCCTCCGGGACAGCTGTCCACCTCCCCTGTGCCAGGGGATACCGCGGGGGAACCGCTTCTGCCCAGTTGTCTTCCCTGCTTTTCAACAAAGGAAGAGAAAGTACTTGCTCTTGCACACCTCTTGACATGTTTCCCATTTGTACAGAGGCATCAACTCTTGACCTTTCCTATCCATAGCCAGGGAAGTGAGAGGATAGGAAAAGGACAGGTCAGGAGTGTTAAATGACAAGGTTTTGATTCATGATCCTGCTTTCAAGCTCACAGACGCACATCTGTTCTGCCGCTTGGCAGCTACTTATGTTTTTAGCAGTTTCGGCTTGATGAGGAAGAGAGCTTCTTGAAAGAAAATCAGTGGATTAAATCTGCATGCTTTGTCCTTCCCTGTGAGACCTGGAGGGCTCAAAGCATCGTCTTGCATTCATGCACCATCCCAATTTCTTCCCTCAGAACTTGGGCTGCTACTGCTAAGCCTGCTTGCCATCCAACTCTGCAGCCTGCCCGCCAAAGCCTCTTCCTCCTTTTTTGACCCTGAATCACCTTCTCCATCCTACCTACCAGTGGCCACACAGGAAAACAAAACTTAGTCCAAAACAAAGCACAGATTCTTAAGACTATGTCTCAGCACACATTGCTCTCCACAAGAAAAATAGTAGCTAAAGAAAGAAAACGACATAACAACATAAAATACATAATTATATAATTATTGTTGTAACAGTGCGTTTTGTAGATGCACTAATCTTACTGCACACTCATTTTGTGTGTGCCATGCCCATCTAAGTTAAACGTAAAAACCTTACACAGCAGTAGAATTCAGGAAAAAATAAAGCCCAGCAACAAAACAAAATATAGTTCTATGAAATGATTGTCAAAGCAAGGAGAGAATATTTGGCCAGCTTCTGAAAAACACATCTGTTCCCCCCAAGGAACAAGTTTTGATGCTTATTAAAACCCCAATCCTATCATAAGATTAACTATGCTCAAAATATTTCATAAGCAATTTAATGTGCAAAAGTTAACATATCACATTCTCCACCAGATCTTTGTCCAGAGGCTATTTCCTAAATCTGTTCAGCTTTCTTACAATAATTAAAGCTTTCCCCACCACAATATAACATTTTTTTAACAATTATGACAGAACAAACAAACCCTTTTAGAATCAGATTAAATCTTCATTATGTTTGTCAGCAATGATTAACTTAATTAAACTTTCAGCTGCATAGGAATAAACAAGGGCAAAATCCAAGACTGGGTCTTAATATGACTGATCCAAAGGGTCAGGGTTCCACAAACTCCTAAATGTATTTCTAACTCTTAGTGAGACTCCTCAGAAAAATTTAGACATATGGGGTCTTCCTTTACAGGCCTTAAGTAGGTATCTAGGAAAACTTTATACATCCTTGGTACACTCCACCCCTCTCAAGAGCTAAGCCTCTTCCATTTTGAGAGAGGTCTCTTGAGATCTCAGCTATTTCCCTAGTAGTTCCCAAGAACAAGAACAATAAAATCTCACTCTTCACTGTCAGATAATTTCCTCAGAAAATGTACTTTGCAAACAGAATACGGGCAGGTTTGTCTGAAGTTTGATTTCTGAAGTTTTTGTAACCCCAAAGATTCACAATAAAAACATTGGTGTTTAAACTATTGCTATCAAAGAATTTTAAAAGTATTATTAAAAAATTAATAATACTAACTCTGGAAAGGTATGTGAAAGGAAAGCCACCTTTGTGACTCTGCTATTTGAGTCCTGTAAGTTCACAAGAAAAACAGCTCAAAAGGAAAAAAAAAAAGAGATGGACATGAGATAATCACCATAAAACAGTGAAAATAAAGAGGTTACAGAGATACAGAAGATACACCTTATATACAAGTACCTGCATGTGTTTCAGCTAAATCGTTATTATAGCAAAAAGAAAAAAAAATATAAAGCCAACAGCACACAGAGAAAAGTGGAAAAAATCCAGAAAGGATGGATAAGCTGAGAAATGTAATGTGAGGAAAGCCATGGGTTTGTCTAAGATTCTTTCCTGTTTATAGTAATGTGCTTATTTTACATGTTTTATTAATACCCTACTGCTGATAACAAACAGCAATTGTGCATGCAAAAGACATAATGCTCTGCGACAAACATCTGCTATGGTGGTACTCATATGGTGTGCCTATTTTAGGATCAATACATAAAAGACCAGTGCCAAAGGAGGAATTTGCCTTATCATTTGTGGACTTTTAAAAGCCTCAGGGGCCAGGAAATGGCATCTTCTGCAACCCTATCTGAAATTCTAACCAGCTCCCCATTAAACATTGACTCACTTTTCACAAGCTGTTGAAAACAGAAGAACACTTCAGTAGCTCTCACATGCAGTGTTTTCTTTGACCATAAGGAATACTTCAATTGCCAATGACATTTAAAAAAAATATTTTATTTTTGAAGTATGCTCTTAGTGACACACCAAGATAGCTTTTCCATAAACCATTTTACTTGGAAAGCTTTTCGAAGTTGTGTAGTATTCTGCAGAAGTTAAGTAGACAGAATGCCAAGCCTGAAGAATATGGGTTCAGAGAGTTTAATTCTTCCTTTTTCTGTTGATCTGATTAGAATTTGTACTGTAATCAATAAAAAGGGTATACTTAGATCATCCAGAAAAAAAGGTCTAAAGTAAAATGTAAAAGTCTTAAGTAAAACTTTACTACTAATCTTCAACAAGAAGTACAGTAGAAGCAAATCCGAGGAAGTGAGGAATTATACAGAGAGGACATGAATCTAACCTAAAATCTTGTGGCCAGTCAGACTAACGCATGATATTAATGATTAAGCCTTTTTGCTCCTAAATTTTTCAGCTAGTGTTATTAAGACACCTATTCAGCAGAAGGATTTGGACTGAAGTCAGAAAGATGAGATAAACAGGATAACCATTAAAACACAAAAACATATGGTATCACCAACTGCGTGAAGATCAACATTAGATTAAATCCCATTCAGTAAGCAGTGTTTATGCATCTCTCAGCCAGACAGGATGTTCTACTGATGTTTCAGACTGGGCTCCAGCTGAGTCGTGTGAACTACAAGGGCTGCATCTGACTGCTGAGTAGATGAGTCACATTTTCAAAGGTAAAAACCACTGATTTTACTTGTTTACTGTGGGGAGTGCTGACAGTCTAACCTAAATTTGATAATACCTACAGGAGAAGGTTTCTAGACAGCTATTAGTTGTCAAAGTATAGGTTCCCTCCCTATATTCCAAGTAGCATGAGAGAGGGAAAGAGAGTAGACTAAATGTCTAACTAGTGAAGCTACAGAAAAGCAACATCTCCAGTTCCCACTTCCACATTTATTTCAAACCAGTTTCAGACTTAACATTTTCCCCTTTGGATTCACTTTATGGTTCAGGTCTGGCTCCTTTACAAATTAAATTCGGGTTTAGTTTATCATTCAATGAAGAGTGGATGGGACTTGACTGGCTGTTGTCTGGAACATGATTGACACCTAACTGCTTCTATTAAAGTACACAAGTGAAAGAGAGTGGCAGTCACTACCTGTCAAAGCCCCCTGCCCCTGCCAACCTCCAGTTGCACAAAGCTAAATTTTTGATGGCAGACTTTTAGTGCAGGATTTCTCTAGCCTGCCTTGTCACAGTCACCACTGTGAACATCTGATCAGGGACATCATCTGTGTAGTGTTGGTAGGTGGGAATAGGGGCAAAAATTATTTTAAACATTAACATTTATGGTAAGTGATACTGAAGGAGCCCAGATGACTAGTTTAGATGTAAGAGTGAGAACTCTAAACATCTAAAATTTGGTGAAATTAATACCACCCTTGGATATTAAGTTGAAGAACATCTTAAGGTAATTTTTATTCTGACCTCAAACCCGGAATTTGTTTTGATCCTATTGCTAAATGAGGAAGCATGAAGAATACATTGTCCTAGCATGATCATTCACCTCTCTCTTGGCAGTGAAATAACTTACAGCACTGGCAACATCCTCATTCAGCTTCAAAGTTAACATCTCTTTCAAATGAGCAGGAACTGCTTCAAGCCATTGTTTTAGGCAATCTTCAGGCTTGGTTTGATACCTCTAGACAGGTCAAGTATTTCATATTGCATGCATTATCATAGGATCTAAGCACCTCAGAGTTCCTTCCTTTGTTTATGCAGATTTAATATCTTCCAGACCACCTTTGCAATCTCAAGAACTCAGTTCTGTTTCAACAAAAGTTTGGAGCCTTAGAGAAGCAAATGTTTTACCAAATAAACCAAATCAGACTGTTGTCTAGTAGCAGATTTGTTTGCTGTTTGCTCAGTCGCCACTCAGTTAGCTTCGCAGGCTGCAAAAAGTCAAAAAAGAAAAAAACCTTCTACCTCTGACAGTACTACTTGAAGTAAAAAACCACCAGGAATAGAAGTAACACTAAT